CGGCAGCGCCGGGCGCTTACCTGCGGGGGAAATTCACTGTCCTTCCCGACCTGGGCAGGGGCAGATGAAGCATCTTCCCCGGCTCAGGCGGCCATTCACCGGGTGGGCACCCCGCGCCCCCCGGGACCGCCCTCGCCCGGCACCCGGCGGACACCCGGAAAGGTATGAGCCGCGGGCCACGCGGAGGGCCAGGAGCCGAACCCTCGCCCGCCCTCCGCTCCCTTTTCTCCCCCCCACCCGGGCTCGTACTTACGGCTCCAGCTGTACTTAAAGTGACAGCGCCCCATTTCCCCGGCGCTGACTTCTGTCCCGAGCCCCGGCGGTGCAGGCTGCGAGCGGGCTCTTTAACGCCCAGAGCAGGTAGACAAAGAGCCACCGCAGCCTCCACCGTTCCGGTGGCCTCGGAAGTCCGGAGGTGCCGACGGGGGCTGGGGGCCTCGACCTCTACCTGGGCTGCTCTGCAGTTAACCCCTGGGATGCCAGCGGCCGTCCCCCGGGCGTTCTTACTCAGGCCGCACAGGCAGAAGGAGGCGTGAGCCGCGAGGCACTTCCAGGACTCTCGGGCACGGAACCGAGGTGCTTGGATGGGTACAGGGGTGGGTACCCGGTTAGGGAGACCTGGGCAGAACCCCCTCCTGGCCCTTTTCCTGGCTTTTTAGAAGTCGGTAAAAATCGGAGCCTGGGATCAGCACATTGCCTAAAACAAGGTCTGTGGAGGGGCGTGGTGAGAAACGAAGGTAAGACGGGGGTATATTGCCAGAGTAGGCTCAGGAACCTTCTACTTAGTGGGGAGAGGAAAGGGGAGAGGGAGTGATGATGCAACCTCCCGATGTCCTGACAACCTGCATTCTGGAGACCACCCGTTAGGTGAGAGGTGTGCTTGCTGGGGAAAGATAGTGGGGGAGACACAGAAGAGGCAGAATAAATAGAAAACAAATAATACAGATTTAGGCCAGGCGCCGTGGCTCACTTCTGTAATCCCAACGCTTTGGGAGGGAGGCCGGAGGATACCTTGAGTCCAGGAGTTCAAGACCTGGGCAACATAGTGAGATCTCGTCTGAAAAACATTAGCCAAACAGGGTGGCGCATGCCTGTGATTCCAGCTATTCAGGGAGCTGAGGCGGGAGGATCGCCTGAGCCCAGGAGGTTGAGGCTGTCCTGAGCTGGAATTGTGCCACTGCACTCCAGCATGGGCAACAGAGTGAGACCCCTACTCAAAAAGAAAAAAAAAAAAAGATGGTGGGGGAGAAAGAACAGCTTACACCAAGCACAATCTGTGTCTTTATCTAGGACACATTTCCAGCTGACTGGTTAAGAAGAAATGGATCCCAAGACAGAATGGCTTTAGTTTAGGGTAAGAAAAAAAAAAGTGGGTTCCAGTAGCAAGGTCCTCACATTGGGTTCCTCTCCCCTCAGGTCCTCCTGGCAACTTAACTTTCCTCTTCTGGAGCAAGAGCTGCTCAGGGGCTAGACTGCTGCCCTCACCCCTGCTTCCTCCGGTCCTCACACCTTGTAAGTGTCTATGGTTGGGCCAGTCCCAGTGTGAACTGGGCAGACTGCGAAGACTACATGTTAGAGATGGATAGATTATATCCACAGTTTCTTTAAGCAACAAAACCAACAGCAGCAATTTTGTAAAGCCCCCCAAAATACTGAACTGAGATGACTGGGAACCACAGAACAGTTGTCTCTGGTATTTGGACAGTTCGATGTGATTGGGCCACACATAGATATCCAGTCACATGTGTTCTCTTAGTTATATCACTGCAGTCCCTTAGGCTTTCTGGGCCTCCGTTTTCACGAATGTTAAGGGAGAGACCTGCACTCCTCTTGAACTTCTCTCTGCCCCCCTCCCTCAGACTTTAAAGAGGACTGGGTGGTACTTTGAGTCCTAGGAATAGCCTTCTCCTTTAAGTCCACCTATCTCCCCTAGTCCTCTGGTTGCCCAGTGCCATGGACCGGGGCTGCAGCTCTGGAGGGATGAACCACAGTTCTCAGAGGGTAGAAAATCAGAGAGACCTCTGTCTCTGGATCCCTAAACAGTCAGAGTTGGGGGAGGGGGTCCTTGTTTTCGAGGATGCATATTTTAGCCAAGTTTTCCAAATACTGCTTTGAGAATAAAGGGAAGTTAAAAAGCTGCAGTGATCCTAGTACTGATCCCTCAGACTTCCTTCTAGTATGGGGGGCACAGATCTTTATTCCCTTTACCCTTGTTCTGAGTGGTTTGGGTGACTCAGCACCAGCTCCTAAGCAGACCAGCTTTGAGGAGCATCAGAGCAAGGCAGGTGGTTGTCTCTAGGGTATTCTTCCATCTCAGTCCAGGATGGTGTTCCTGGACCAAGCCCCTATCCTAGATCTCCTGCCTGATAATGTCCTGGGCCTCCCATCCTCACCACCACCACAGAGACTGAGTGCAGTCAGCTCTCTAGGGAGGTTCTGTTCATGCAGCTGTGCTGGAGCTGGCCTGGGTCATCTGGGGAACAGCTTACAGTGGCGCGCCATAAGGGATTCTCTTTAGCCTCAGCCAGCATGGAATCTTAAGTAAAATGACTTTGTCTCAGCCAAAGGAATGTCAACAGCAGGGGATGTTTTTCTCCAGATCTAGCTGTAGGTTTTCCATAAGGCTTCCTCCTTTGTGACTTTCTGGGCAGGGTCTACAGGGAGGGAGATCTGAGGCCTGGAAGGGGTAAGGCACAGGGGTTTACTTGGAGGGACAGGGGTCTCGTGCAAGGAATTGAACTAGCCCATTCTAGCCTGGAAATTCCCCCGTAGCTCCCCCAAATGCATGTGGTCCTATTCCTCACACCTAGAGCCCTGCTCGACCTCCCGTCCACCCTCCTCCCCCATGTCTCACTCCCACCCGGGGACTGGGGGAACAGATCATAAAGAGAACAAGCCTCAGCCAGTAGTTCTGTTCAGGGGAGGGGCTCTCGGCTTCCTGAGTCCCCACTAAGGATTCTGGGTTAGAGTATCTCTAGATCACCTCCTTCTTGGGATCAATTCCTGCGCTGCCAGAATCCAACAGAATTCGAAGTTTCCTCTATACCGGGGTGCCAAAAAAATGTGTACACATTTTAAAAGATATTCTCTATGTATTACTTTTAGTTCGTCATAGTCAAAAGTGTCTGGAGGCCGATGGTAACCATTCTGAGCACCTTTTGTAATTGTAGACATCAAACGTGACTTGTATTCATCTTTTGTTATAGGTATATATTGAGTACTACTACAGTTTTCATAGTTTTTTCCTTTCCTAAGATGTGTAATTTTTTTTTAATCTCTGTAGATTCCTCTTTCCTTCTTGAGGAGGGTGGGAGTTCATTGTAGTGTCTGCCTTACTGCTTGTTGGAGGTTAGAATGGGCTTTTACAGGGGAAGGAGCAGGACTGCAGAGGCATTGCTACTTAAATAAATAGGATGCAAATTATCACCTGCTATTTTCAGCCCATAGGTCAAGGCACTTTGGGTAATTGGACAGCAGTGCTGAAGAGAAATGCTGTCTGGGGGCTTTTGTGAAATCAGGAAAACACAGCCTCCCCTGTCAATGGGCTCAGCTCCTATGCTTGAAGGGGCCCTGACCTTGCCTATCACAGGGGTGTGGCAGAATGGGGGGATAAGGTGCCAGTTGCCTTGACTACGTGAGGTGGGCGATGCAGGGGTGACTCTAAGAACTTCTTTCTGCATCCCAGGCTGCATTATTGTACCCTGGGGCAGAGGGAGTGGGTACAGCTGAGGGAAACATGGTGCAGGGGGAAGACACCTGCTCAAAGAGAGCTGGGAGTCAGGCACTTGTCCAGAAAGAAAACCTAGCCAAAGAAGGAGAGAGGAAAAAGACCCATCTATCTCAGATAGGCCTCCTCTGTGCTCCTCTGGTGCTTCTCTTCAAAGAGCCCCTGGGAGCCATGATCTCATTGGTCTCCCATGCCAGCACCATCAGAGTGGCTCTTTACAAGCGGGAAACTGAGCCATGGAAAGGCCAGGATATGTCTAAAGCAGAGAGTAGAACCCAGACTGACGTGCATGAGGTCTCTTAGCCAGATTCCTATGAGGCGGTGTTTCCCTCTCCCTTTGCACACTTTCTTCACCTCAAACGATCCCTGGAGACACCTTGGCTCAGGCCCAAGGTGATATAGAGACCCACTAATGTCTGTCCATATTGTTACAGCCCCTAGAGAAGGGCATAGCAAGGGTTCAAGGACTCCTGCACATTCCCGAGCACATTACTGAGAGTCCCCTTATCTCCTATGTATTCCTAGTAAGTAGCTTTAGGGGATCCTTGACTTCCCTATAGACTATGTCCAATCAGCTGAAAGATGCAAATCCCCATTTACTCCCTTTTTCTGAGTGGTTATAAGTTTGAATAATATAGTATCAATGTAATAGTAAGCCTTGTGATGCATATAACTTTTGTATCAATGCAATCATAAGTTTTGTGATTTGTATAACTTTTGCATAATGCATGATGGCTTAGTCCTTGTAAACTTCCTTTACTCTATGACAGGCTTGATTAACACCTCTGCAGGCCCTACTGATAAAAGCTGTAAGATACCTCTGATACCTGGCACCAGCAAGTCTGGACTGAAAAATGTCACTATCAATAAATGCAGCTGAAACTCAAGTTCTATACAATGCTCTGCTGGTCACGTGGCTAATGTATAGGTACTAATAACTCTGGACTTATAAAAGTGAACTGTAAATGCCCAGAGGGTGAACAGAACCATTTTAGAAAGACCTTGAGTCTGGCTCTGCTCCCTGGATTTGAACTCAGAAATAAACTTCTTTCTATCAGTTTCTTCCCCCTTTGATTTATCGGTATCAGGGGGAGCAGCTGAGTGTTACTCGGACCATAACAAAGATCCTATTGGCCGGCATTCCATTTCCAAAAAAAGACACTGAAAGACTGTTTATGAGATGCTCTAGTTGTCTCTCTGACAATCATCTAAAAGGTTGATGTGATTGGTCAGAGTGGGGCAAGAAAAAAAAGGGGAAAGACTTGCCTGGCAGTTCAGTGTGCTCTGAATTCCAGTGTCACCTGCCTGGAAGTTTCTGGGTTCCAGTGTCACCAGTCTTACCTGACCACATACCTGATTTCCTGGGGAGCCCCAGAATCTTTCTGGGAAAATTAGGGTCCTAGGGAAGGCATCCGCCACTCTGTCCCTTGACCTGCCCTCATGTCTTCTCTTTCCCATCAATTATGAGGCTATTTAATTCATTAGATGGAAAAGTCTTGGCTAGTCACAGGGCTTCCCTCTAGGCCCGAG